ATGCTAATTCTTAGAAAAATAATAACTTTCTCAAACGAAGTTAGATTTGGACGTTCTCTATATGCATGCTCTCGGTTTAACGTATACTACGACTTTCATTTAAATTTCTAAGGCTAAAAAGTAGTTTATCAAAAATTCACTTTTTACGATACGTGGTGCCGTGCCGGTTTAGTCGTAAAACTTCGACAGGTCATAACTTTTTCGTTATAAGTCGGATTCCAGCATTCCTTATATCACCGGAATCCTTGTTACGACTACTTCAAATTTCTTCATAGATATTGGGTCTATCTATTATTTTATTTTTGATGCATATTTTATTATTATTTTATTATATCGTTATAAACACATATGTTGCACATAAATCACATAATATTCAAATAATTCTTCTTCATTACTTCAAAATAGGTTACAATTATTGACCCTAACTATTACATCATCACAATAATGCTTAGTTAGAAACGCGGGCGTTACAATGTGTGGGTATTTTGGGAAAACTTACTTGAGCTCGACTGATTGCATGCATCACACCCCTTTATCTTTAAAAAAAAATTTGTAATTTTTTTCCTTTTACAAAAATCTTTTTAAAACCGTTTTCTTTTTAAGAAAATCATTAATTCCTCGGTTTGAGTTCAGTGACACTCGAGAGTGTGCCCGAATCCCTCAAACCAAGGCTCTGATACCAACTTGTAACGTCCTAAAATAAGACCCAAAAATTTTATTTTAAATTAAATAAACCAGTATTCCAGAAACCACCTCATAAGAATCCAGATAAAACAAATGTGTCAATCATTACATCATATTAGAGTAAGTTAAGAAAATGCGGAACGAGGTGGTGTGTGCTCTGCAATCATCCCAAACTCTTCCCTTTGAAAACAGAAGTACCTGAAACATAAACTGAAAACCGTAAGCACAAAGCTTGGCGAGTTCCCCAAAATACCACATACCAAAACATACAAGTGCCATGGGCTACCCCCATGGTCGTTCCTTGCAATGTCGAAGGCCAAATCCCGGTCTTACATACAAGTGTCATGGGCTACCCCATGGTTTTTCCTTGTGATGCCAAGGGCTAAATCCCGATCTTACACATAAGTGTCATGGGCTACCCCCTTGATCTTTCCTTGAAATGCCATGGGCTACCCCCACGGTCTAACATCCAAGTGCCATGGGCTACCCCCATGGTCTTTCATGCAAGTATCATAGAGACAACTAACATTTCACATAACAAGTCCTAGGTAGGCATTGGTGCCTTCGACCCATTGACATAGTGAGAAAACTCACCTTACACTGCTGAATCACACTGAAAACTCCCTGGCTGCTAGTCCGAAAAATCCCCAATCTATCATTAACAAATAACATCCTATTAACAATTGGATTCCAATCCATAACCATCGGACCATAATTAGGGTAAATGACCAATTTACCCCTTACCTAGTTTGGACCAAGACTTAAGCCCAAACCTAATAATCCAAAAAGGCCCAAATACCAAATAATCATACAAGTCCCAAACATGTCCCAATTTTCCAAATTGGGCCCAAAACCTTCCATGGTCCTTAATCCAAGGTTCAACAACATTCTTAGTCCAAAACACTAAAATTCTGATGGCCCAACAAGGCCCTGAACATCTAGGGCTAAACTATGGACCAAACCGAAGACCAAAAGATTTGAGGCCCACTCTGCTGAGTACGTGGGGTGTACTTAGCTCGTACGCTCATCGTACTTGCCTTAGGGCTTGTACGTTAAGCGTACCTGCTTGTACGCTCAACGTACCCTCAAATACATCCAACTTCCATATTAATCTCTTATTCCATAAAGACTTTACTCCACAACCTAGATCTTACTTCCTTAGACTGATTTATCATGTAAAGTTACTAACTTTACGTTCATGCATGGTTAAATGAAGCTTTTAAGCTTAAAAAGGACTTAATATATGACTTAATGCATTCATGAGACCCACTACCCCATAAAGTTGGCACCTTTATGCTTAAGGAACTCCTAATAAGCTCAAATCTAAAAGAATAAGTCCTTCAAATGTCTTAACTCAACACCTAACCCAAAAAGGGACCAAAAACATAACAAATCAAGCCATAAAGAGATCTAAACATCTACAAAGCCAAGGTATGAACTTGATACTTCCAAAGTCTTGCAACAAGGGTAATGATTCTGGATCTAAAGGATCCTCACCAAGCAAAGCACCTTAAATCTTCTTTACTTCCTTCACAAAGGGAAAAATGACCACCAAAATCTTCTCAAGAGCTCGAAACACCACAAAGAAGGCTTAAGGGTTGATTTAGGGTTTTAGGAGGTTTGGGGGCTGGTAAAGAGGCCAACCCTAGAGACTTAAGGTCCTTAAATAGGGTACAACACACTTAAATTAGGGTTTTCTTCACTCCTCGTACGCCCAGCGTATGAGGCAGAGGCTTCGCGATCCTTCCTTCTTGGTACGCTAAGCGTATACCAGTGTACGCCCAACGTCCTGCACTTTGCACTAGTAGGCCCCGCGTACTCCCTATGTACACCCCGCGTAGTAGGGTTTCCCCTTAAACCCTTAAATACTCCGAATGCCATAACTTCTTCATTATAAATCCGATTTCGACGATACTTATATCCACGAAAAGGTAACGAAAAGCTCTACGCTTTTATCAAATCATAAGCACCTTAAGATTTCCTGAACAAAATCCAATTTCCATAAAAGCCCGAGCTAACACTTTACCTCTTGGCTCCAAAACACAAACCGAACACCCGAATCATTTAAATGACGTCACCCGCAGCCAAATGGGAAACAATTCGGGACAGGGTGTTACATGGCAAGAAGGAAATCGAGACTTCCTCTATAGAAATAATCCACCAACAAAATTCCAACACCACCGAATGTTAGTCCGACTCTTGCAAAATACAAGTTCTTAAGCTTGAAGCACCAAATCCGAATTTGGTTTTCAAGAGAGTTCTTATATATTCCTTCCTTTTACTAAACCTTTATAGAGAGGAAAGAATATGTATGTATGTGTCAAATTTTGTCCAAGAGGTTGTTAGAATGATAAAACCCAAGCCTTTTACCATTAATCTCTTTCTAGAAGTCATCCAAATCAATTATGGGTCTTGAACCTTTCAAGAGCATACATTGGAGGAACTAAGAGGAAAGCAAACCCTATTAGACCTCCTTAGAAGGTGGGTGAACGAAAATTTAATAGGAGAGAGAGTGAGAAAGTGTCTTACACTCTTACTTTTTATATTTTATAAAAGTTATTGTAACCTTTTTATAAAATATAAACTCCAAACCTTTAAATAACCTATCCATATATATATATATATATATATATATATATATATATATATATATATAAACTTTTACATTAAATAAAGTTATACAATTTATTTAAACCATTTAACCTTTAAATGATGTAATTAACACACTTAAACTAATTCATTCCATATAAATTAATATATAATATTATTTTTCACAAAATAATAGATGCAAGAGTTATGACATTTTACTATGAATCAAATTCATTACATAAAATGATCCATTGGTGTTTACTTGTTATTGGTGGTAACCATATAGGATCATATGTTATCGGAAATATTATTTTATGATCATTCTTGAGCATATAGAACCAACATAATCGTGACGCTTGGTGTTGTAATTACCGTTGTATGGGAATCGGTTGTTAGTGGTATGCTTAGTGTTGTAATTACCATTGTATTATCCTTGATGCAAGTGTTGATTGTAGTGGTATGCTTAGTAACTGTAATATCATATACTAACTTAGTGGTTGTCTTAGTGATTGTAACACCATAGTAAATAGGATCAGTTATTAGTGGTGGTCTTAGTGACTGTAACACTACAGGGTTATGAGAATGTATAAATGCTTGTATGTTAGTATTATATTATGATAATAGCCCTGGTGGTTGTAATATTATCAATGGAGAATTGTAAGTTAATACTAACCTTGATGGCTGAAATAGTATACTCACGACAGAATATATTGTAGTGAAAGTTTGAATGGATGTGATGTTAGTAAGATAAATGTTGGCTAGATGAGTTTGTAATATATGTAGTATTGATTACTACTAAGGAGAGGTTAATTGGAATTGATATTAGATTGTTTGGCTGTAAGTCTATTATAAATAATAAATGGTAGATTTAGTGTCAGTAATGTCGTACTGTGTATTGAATGATTAGAAGACACATTAAGATTATTTGGTTGAATGTGAAAAAATATATTTAGTTGTGTAACTAATTTATATATTGTTGATTTGGTTATTCACTAAGCTTGTTGTAGCTTACCATTTTATTGTGTGTGTGTCTTTTAGATTCAAGTAAACTCGTAGAAAAAAGTAGAGTTAGTAGCGCTGAACTTAGATTCTTACACGAAATTAATCGTAAGATCCTCTTGATAACTATGTGTACTAATTTGTGATACAAATGTACACCGAATTAGTTATGATTCATGTTTTATAAAGGAAAATTTTAGGTGTACATGGTATTAAAAATCGGGTGTCACCGTATTTGTCGTGTCAACCCGTTTACTTAAACATGTTGAAATATCCTACATAAATCCGTTTATTTTGTGTTGGTTTTACAAGTCGTATCGGTTTTTACCAAATCTATCTAAAATAGTAAAATATGATAATTTTTATCAAAATTTCCATTATTATGACTTTATTTATATATTAATGAAAGTATACAATGAAGACATTAATGTCCAAAATAAACGTTTGTTAATGTTGGTTCTTATATAATAAAATTTCATATTAAATATACGAAAGTGTCAACATTTTTCTCATTGACCGACCCTTGTTTTATAAAGATTCCAAGACTAATATCACAAGGCTAATATTTAATTATATCGTTCGGAACAGCCCAAACCTATTAAGCCCAAAGTTATCAGCCCATAAAACATGGATACGTTAACATAGCGCGTAATTTAGCAAATATATGTTTATCATACACCGTACACCATGAACTTACAAGAAGATAAACCTGTGTCTCAATGAGTATCACTCGTATCCATTACCCGCCAAACTTCCTCTTCTTCCATCTTCATCTACACAATTTGAATCAATGTCATCTCTTGATGTATCCTCACATGTTTCTCTCTCTAGAATTCTTTCTCTCTTCGCTCCAGTATCCAGATTCTCTCAATCTTCTTCGCTCTTCCTCCCAACTTCCTCCTCCAATCCATCTCTGTGTCTATCAGCCGTATCTCTTCACCGCCGCCGTTGTAAAGCCACTATTCCATCGTGTAGTCCATCTGAAGGAGAGTTTGAAGCAATAGAGTTAGCGGAAATTGAAGATGATGCGGAGTCTGATTTTGAAGATTTAAGTGATGAAAACTTGGATGTGGATGAGCTCGAAGTGGAGGCGGAAATGGCCGTTCGTGAATACTCGCTTTCTTTATCTAAGGAATTGAAAATCGGTGCGTGTTTTTGCTATTCATTTATGGTCCGTAGGGTTTACATTTTAAAATGACAATTCTGTCTAATTATTGGTCAATCTTACTATTACAAATTTAATTTCAAGTTATTAGAAAAGTATATATATGGAATTACTCGTGATAACTTGATTCATCTCTTAGTTGGAACCTGTGTGCTTGTGTTTTAATTAACTTGCTAGTTCAATTTTGATTGAAAACATATTGACATTCACTCATGTTTTAGAAGAGGAGCCGATTGATGAAAAAGAAACTCGTGGAAGAAGGAAGATGCGTGAAAGTATCAAAGTCGTGAATGTGAGTTACCATATCCTATGTACTATCTTCAGTATCTTGTGATCTTGTCATTTGCTGAATCCTGAGAGTATTGTTCTGTGTGATTGTTAGAGTTTTTGCTTCTTAGTAGCAAGTCTATTCCTGAAATGGTATAATTAGCATGAGCGGGAATGAAATACTTCTTGTGACCCAAAGTTTATCCTAGCTGAAATGCTAAAATTTGCATAACCTGCCATTGAGGTATCCATTTCTGAAAGATGCCTTGTCCTCAATAATGAGTTTCTTGTTTTGTCTTCTCAAACATCATATGCATTTCATCCAAAGTCAATTATATATACACTCTATAGTAATCTATAATTTTGTTAGATTGGTTGATTTACATTGAGGTTCTTATCCACGAATTGTGAAAACACTCCATTCTCCCCTTTCCAAAACAGAAAAAAGGTCTTAAATTTGGTTCTAACTATGAATAAATAGAATTTACTCATGACCAGAAACTGGCCTTATTCTTGAAGGAGCTGATGCATATACATTTAATCAACTTTCTTGTTCTTGATGTTAACCAATCATCTTTTCAACTCAATGCAGATACCTGATCATCTTCTTCCAAAGGTTTCAATTGTTGGAAGACCAAATGTTGGCAAATCAGCATTATTCAACCGCCTTGTTGGGGTATAAATTTATAGTCTTTGTCCTTTTTGTTATACTTTCTAATATCTGTTAGCTATTATCTGATTATATATCTTGTCATAAATTAAACTTTTATATCTGTTACAGGGAAACAGGGCTATTGTGGTTGATGAACCTGGGGTTACTAGGGATAGGTTATATGGTAGAGCCTTTTGGGGAGACAAAGAATTTATGGTGATTGACACAGGAGGTGTTCTCAAAGTTTCAAAGTCACAGACTGATGTTATGGAACAACAATTATCTGTTTCAACAACAATTGGCATGGAAGGTATTCCACTTGCTTCCAGAGAGGCTGCTGTTGCCAGGATGCCTTCAATGATTGAGAGACAAGCTACTGTGGCTGTAGAAGAGTCATCAGTCATCATATTTGTAGTTGATGGACAGGTATTGTTCATAAACTAGCAACATTAATTCTACTTGAATCTTTACTTGTTATGCTTTTTTTGTATTGATTTCAATTGGGATTTGCTTGGTTGGATGGAATGGAATGGATATGGATATGGTAATGGAATGAGTCATTACATTCCATGATCATGTTTGATTGGTCTGTAGGAATGGAATGAATGTTCAAATAAGTTTTTTATATTATATGTAGAATTACAATATATTATTCTTAACTTTATTTTATACATTATTTTGATTATAATATAGTTAAGACAAAATTGCAAAAATGGTCCCTGTGGTTTCTCATTTTATGTGGCTAAGGTCCAAACGTTTGAAAAGTTGCAGATTTGGTCCTTTTCAACAAGTTTTGTTGTGGTTTTGGTCCCTCTTCCGTTAACTTTAACTGGTTGGTTGTTAATTCTTTTAAAAATGGTCCATGAGGGTAAAATTATCATTTTAAAAGAATTAACAACCAACCAGTTAAAGTTAACGGAAGAGGGACCCAAACCACAACAAAACTTGTCGAAAAGGACCAAATCTGCAACTTTTCAAACGTTTGGACCTTAGCCACATAAAATGAGAAACCACAGGGATCATTTTTTCAATTTTGTCTATAATTAATGAACTTCTGTTCACCAAAATAAAAAACATAGATAATAAAAGCTTATTAAAACCCAAATAAGGTATTAAAGTATCTTAGGAATGGAATGAGTCATTAGTGATTACATCCCATGATCATGTTTGGTTGTTTTGTAGGAATGGAATGAAATATGAATGTTCATATATTATTTTTAACTTTATTTTATATATCAATCTGATTGTATACTTAATCAACTTTGATTTACAAAGGTAACAAAATATAGATAATAAAAGCTTATTAAAACTCAAGTAAGTTATAGAAAGTATATCTTTTAGTTATTTCTAGATAACAAAATTGTAATTCAATTAAAAAAAGAATAATCTTTTGAAAAGATTTGTGACTAACTCTGAACAGGTAGGCCTGAATGCAGCTGATGTGGAAATAGCAGATTGGCTCAGAAAGAATTATTCAAATAAATGTATTATATTAGCTGTTAATAAGTGTGAGTCTCCACGAAAAGGAATAATGCAAGCATCAGAGTTTTGGTCTCTTGGGTAAGCTCTGCTTCTTTCTCACTTATATTTGGATTTTGAGATTGTTTTTTAGGGATTTTGAATCATTCAAAGGATTTGGATTTAGAATGATTTAAATTTGTAGTGTTTGGATTGTAGTGAGAGACAGGATACATGAGCATTGGGCAATAAACTCATTTTTTCTTTTTTTAATAACAAAAAGCTTGCTGCATAAGGAGGATTTATCAAACCATATAAACATAAAATTATCCTAAAATATTTTAAATCCATCTACATGCTTCAAACCAAACACCCCTTAGGGTCTTTTTGGTATGATGGAATGGAACCAAAAAGGAAAGCAATGAACAGGGTAATTGAGTGATAAATTAAAAATGCTGTTTTAATAAAAATAAACCCTAATAAAATAAAGGTATATCGCTTAGAAAAATTGCATATAAACTACCTTCGCTTGAAATATATATACTATGTGTTATGTGTATTTCAATAATCCAAAAAAAAAAATTATCGCTTTAAAAATTTTGTATACAAAAAAAAAATAATAATAAACAAAACTAAATACCATATGATCTTGAAACTGAAATCAAATATAATTTTTATTACTTTCAGAAAATAAAAAAATGTAATTTAATTGAAGTTTAGAATCCTTTTTAAAACATTGCTGTTATTGAAAATAAAATAAATAAAAGCAATGTATAATTTATGATATATCATTCCACATTTCCATTCAATCACACAATGAAAAAAAACACACATTCTGTGAGGAATGCTTCATTCCATTCCTATGTGGCAAACAACCTGGATTTTAATTTTTTCATTCCATTCCCTTTCCGATTACTGCATACCAAACACTACCTTAGTTTTCAGATTAACAACATAAAAAACTCAATCATATTCATATAATAATACCATTATCTTTTATTTAATCAAACTATTTTTCAGATTCACACCACTTCCTATATCAGCTATTTCTGGAACAGGGACCGGTGAGCTTCTTGACTTTGTTTGCACAGGCTTAGGAAAAACCAAGGTATTTTTCAAATTTCACCACTTACCAATTTATTTTTATACAATTAATGATTTTTCTACACACACAGGATTCTGATGTTGAAAACAAAGAAGAAGAAGAAAACTACATTCCTTCAATTTCAATTGTAGGGAGACCAAATGTTGGGAAAAGCAGCATTCTCAATGCTTTAGTTGGTGAAGACAGAACAATTGTTAGTCCTGTTAGTGGAACCACACGTGATGCTATTGACACCGAGTTTGAAGGACCAGATGGCCAGGTTTTTGTTTTTAATTTTTTTAATAAATAAATATTTAGATTTAATGTTTTTTTTTAATTTTTGTTTGTAAAAAATATTGCAGAAATTTCGTTTGATTGATACTGCTGGAATTAGGAAAAGGGCAGCAGTAGCTTCATCAGGTAGTACAACAGAGGCTTTGTCTGTTAATCGAGCATTTCGTGCAATTCGGCGTTCTGATGTGGTAGCTCTTGTTATTGAGGCCTTAGCATGTATCACAGAACAGGTATGGAATGGTTGATTCCATTGTAATGAGAAAAGTTGTTTGTTTTGTTTGTTGGAATGGAATGGATCCATTTCTGAAGGAATTTGAATCCTTTTATTTTGTTAATTTTCTTTCATTAGGTATGGTTGATTTTTTTTTCTCATTCCATCATTGAATGGAATGGAATTGAAAAGTTCATTCCATTGTTATGATGGAATCAGAGAAGGAATGGAATGAAAAAAAAAAGCTGTTTGTTTTGCCTGATGGAATCGAATGGACCATTTATCAAGAACTCTGATTTTGAATCCTTCTGTTTTGTTAGTTTCTTTCGTGGGAAATCTATAGAAAAGTCCCAATCTTTTGGAAAAGTTTCAAAAAAGTCCTAATTTTTTTTGAACAGAAAAGTCTCATTATTTTGAGAAAATCATATAATCTGTCATTTGCTGTTCAAATATAAAAAAGGACTTTTCGTTAATTTGGGCAAAATGTTAAATAATCGGGACTTTTCTGTTAAAAAAATAACTTTTAGGACTTTATTGAAACTTTTCCCAAAAGGTTGGGACTTTTCTGTAAATTTCCCTTTCTTTCCTTGGGTATAGCTGTTTTTTTTATTCCATCATTTAATGCAATGGAATGGAAAAGTTCATTCCATTGGTATGATGGAATCGGAGGAGTGGAATGGTTGATTCCATTGGAATAAAAAAACTATTTGTTTTGCCCGATGGAATGGAATTGACCATTTCTGATGAAATCTGAATCCTTCCATGTTAATTTTCTTTCCTAGACATGTTTTTTTTTTCATTCCATAATCGCTGGAATGCAAAATGGTAATATAACCCATTTTCATCTATAAAATTTTTAATATGTTATAAATTCATGAGTTTAAATAAACTATAATTTATTTTCTAAAAATAACTAGATTTTTTTTATGTAATATAAAAATTGTGAATGAGCTCTGTAATTATAGTTAAATAATATATCCAGTAGTGTTAAAAACTATACCTTGTTTTTAAACATAATATAGAAACAGCGTAAGTTACAAAATGGTCCCTGTTCTTTCTGATTTTTACAGTTTTGATCCTTTGATTCAAGGCTTCATATTGCTTTTGGTCCGTGGGACTTCCTGATTTTGATCAGAAACCTTGAAATAAGGACCAAAACTGAAAAATAATAAAATTTTAGTTAAAATCTGAAAGCGCAGGGACCATTTTTGTAATTTACTCTACGAAAAAACACCAACCTTTACAATCAATTAGAAAACTGAAATCCTGACAAGAAAGGATTCTTGACTTGTACTTAGGATTACAAGATTGCAGAAAGGATAGAAAAGGAAGGCAAAGGTTGTCTAATTGTTGTCAACAAGTGGGACACAATTCCAAATAAAAACCAACAAACAACATTACATTATGAGGAAGACGTTAGAACAAAGCTTCGTATTCTTAATTGGGCACCTATCGTTTATTCAACTGCAATAACTGGAAACAGCGTTGACAAGTAAGTATCTTTCTTTATTCTTAATAAAATATTTATTAATATAAATATTTAAATATTTAATTGTAATGGAAATTGGAATTTCAGAATCATTGTTGCTGCAAGTGCGGTTGAAAGCGAGAGATCAAGAAGGCTTAGCACAGCCACTTTGAATCAAGTCGTTCATGAAGCTTTAGCTTTTAAATCACCTCCAAGGACTAGAGGTGGAAAAAGAGGACGCCTCTATTATTGCACTCAGGTATTTAAATCATTTTTCTATTTGAAAATTGAAATCTTCTTTTTTTTTTTTTTTTTATTAATAGTGAAACATGAAAATATAATATATGAAAAACACAGGCAGCTATTAGGCCACCTACATTTGTTTTCTTTGTGAATGATGCAAAGCTTTTCCCTGAAACATACCGCCGTTACATGGAGAAACAATTAAGATCCGATGCTGGATTTTCCGGTACTCCAATTCGTCTTTTATGGCGCAGCCGTAAGAAATCCGAGAAAGATTTTGGTTAGTCTTCGTCCAAACAGATAACAGATAACAGATAGCAGATAACAACTGACATCTATATGATTATTTCCAGGGCAAGGTCCGGTGTCAAAACCGAAACCAAACTTCACGCATAAGAAGTTGGTTGTAGCTACATGATCTATCAATCTTGAAGAGAAAAAGTGAGGTAAGGTTAATAGTTTCTTAATGTTGTAATTTCACTATTGTCATCGAGTAAATATGTGAACGCTAAGAGCATTTCATGATTTACAAGAAGCGGCATTGGCCTCACCCGAAGCTTTTACGTTTTGCCACATCAGATTTTGAGTAACTTTATATAACAAAAAATTATTTTCATAAACCATTTCCAAAAGATATTTTTGAAATTATCTTAGTTTATTCGTATCTTTGTGAAATGTTTTTTTTATACACTCCTCTTGTCTGATTTGTGATTTTTCTAAGTAAATGCTATATTTTTAAAAATCAATATTATTTGACTATTGTTTTTAATGAAATAAATATATTACAATATTGGAAAATCAGAAAGATGACCATATTATGTTTTTTTTTTTTTGAAATATAAAAGATGATAAAGTTATTATGTAATATAGTTGTAAAATAAAAATAGTATAAAAACAACGAAGAAGTGAAACAAATCAACAAAGAATAAATATTTGAGGTTATATATAATTAATATTATTAAATAAAGCGGTTAATTGTATAAAATTCAAAACTTAAAAAAAAATATTTAATAAATTTTGGTTAATAATATTGAACGAAAAACATTTCCAATGGTGACCTTTAGGGGATATTTGGGATTACTTTTGAACATCAAGTAGAAGGACTTTTTGTAAAAAGACTTTTTGCGAAAGGTCTTTAAGGCTATGGGTGTGGTGCCTTTTATACTAATGGTAAAAAGGTGTCATGTAGGCGTTACGTCAACTTTCATATTTTTTTTACAATTTTCACCTATGGACTAGGGTGTGGTAAATGGTATGAGTTTTTTTCTTTTATTTTTGTTTTTTAATTTCAAAAAAAAAATAACATCTTTTTTTAAAAACCGCCACCCTTCCACATCCGGTTGAGCCGATTGAGTCGATTGATCGAATGGTCTCATCAACAGAACAGTAGACTTGAATCTTGTTCCTACATGACCCGATCAATTCGATCGGGCACTCGTCATCTATTTTCATTGTTCAACTCTTAACGACACGAAAAAACCATTTTTCAACTCTTTGACAACATGAAAAACCAAAAGCTGGTACTAAAATTAAAAATTACATTTTAGAAATCCTAAAAGTAAAAAATAACATGAAATTAAAAATTATATTAAAAACCTAAAAAAAAGTATGAAGTGAAAAATTAAAATTAAAAAAAAAATAGAAAAAAACATAACATCAAAATTTCATTTGCGGTTTAGCTTATATTTTTCACGAATCGACTGCTTCATTGCTCGGTTTCACATCTTGCATTAACAACGTATACTCGGTGAGTCGGATGGTTTCAACCATATGCTTCTCCAAAGTTGAATTCAATTATGCTATTTGTGTCATCATTTTTTCTGATCTAGCTGACCGCTCGGTTCCGACGGGAGAATTTGAAGATGTCGCTTTCCCTTTTCCTTTTGCTCGAGCTTTTGTTTTGTCCCTTCCCATTGGAGGAGGAGGCGGGCGTATTTCTTTAATGTCGTCGTTATCATCATTAAAATTAACGCCTACGTGACCATCCGATGAGACTTGTTGCGAGCTCGAATATGAAGATGTCCGACTTCTTTTTGGCGGAATAGCAATTTCTTCATATGTTGCAAGTTCCCTCCACCTATTGCTTCTTTTGACAACTTCCCACACATGAATAAATTTAAAAGGCTTTTGCATATCATATTGGAATGTAGCGTGTGTTTTTTTCAACAAACTCGTTTCACTTTCTCCGCTAGCTCATTGCTTTTCAAAGTTTGTGTAAATTCCATTCCAATATGTGATGACTTTGTTCATAAGATTCCATGTGGAGTTACATTGGTCGGAGGTCCGATAATCTAGATTTCGACCAATTCCCTTACAAAAGCGCTCCACGATACGTAACCAAAACTGATCACGATTTTGACATTTTCCTGTGCCACCATCTTCAGATATGTCGACCCATGCCCTTCCTAACTCAACTTCTTTATTTTGTGTCCATCTTCTCGGATCAACCTTCCCTTTCTTTTGTTGTTGAGGTTGAAGTTGTTCTTCGTGTTCGGAATCAATCATTCGTTTGAAGGTAGGAATGGCGGTTGGGATGGAAATTGAGTTTGAGATGGTTGAGTTTGAGGTTGAGATTGGAAATGGAATTGTTGGGGCATTTGGAATTGTGAATAATAGCTAGGAACACCGTCCATTTGTGGCTGGTAAGGTGGTGGTGATGACGGATCGTAGCCGAAAAGGGTGAAATGGTTGTTAACATTTTGGTTTGGAGCATTTTGTTTGGAAGAGTTTGGATTGTTGGAAGAAGTCATGTTCAAAGAAAAAATAGTTGTTGAGAGTGTATAGTGTGGTCAAATTTTGGAAATTTGATTTGTATATATAGTAGATTTTTTTAAAAAAAAAAAAAGGAAATTGCCAAATTAGCCATTGCCGACCGTTTGGCAACGTCTCCTTCCACAAAATGCCACAAAAATTAAAATTTTGCCAACGGTAGAAGACCACTGGCAGTAAAACCCCCTTTACGGCGCGGTGTTCACCGGCAGTGAAATGATGACACGTCGGATACTGCCGATGTCCCCATTACCACACCGTTTAGTCTAAAATGTGTTTGGATTAGCAAAAAGTCAGCAAAATGACTTTTAGTTTAATTTTTACATGTAAAACAACAAAAAGTCAAGTTTTGTGACTTTTAGAAACCCCTACTTTTCTTGTATTCAAAAAGCCATTTTCAAAAGAACTTTTCTATTACCCAAACACCTTTTGTTTTGTTTTTTTTTTTTTTTTTTTTAAACTTAAAGATTAAAAGTCATTCTAAAAGGAATCCCAAACACCCCTTAAGTAAAAAACCTGGTTAAATAAGTTTAGCCAAACACTCTTTTAATAGCACGGTGGGTTGACGATTTGTCTATGGATAACAAGGTTTATAGGATGTGGCATTCTAGATTTTAAGTGATATGTATATGCTATATAATAATTTTATGTTTTAGAGATTTGTGTTGTACAGTACAACACTATTAAACAAAAATTGTTATGTGAAAAAAATAAAATGACTAATATATTTCTTGATTTTTACATATTTAGTCATTGAGTTTTTTTTCCGTCCACATTTACCCTTTCAACTTGTTAAATTGTACACATTCAGTCTTTATGACCGGCTACTCTAGGTAAGCTGAAAAAATGACATAAAAATGTAATATATTTCTCATTTTGTACACATTTAATCCTTAATATTTTTTTTACACATTTAGTTCTTAATATTTTTTTATTGCAAAATAAATCATTTTTGTTTTTGTATGCATTCAATACTTATGACTGGATTCTTTAGGTTTTTCTCACGTCATCATACATGAAATAATCATTAATATGGTGTTAGGGTTGTTGATGCTTATGTCCATCGCGACATGGGCTGCTTGGTTGCTTAGGTCTTGTGTTCTGAACGCCGTAACTTCTTCATACGATTTCAGATTCAGATTTTAACGATCTTTATATCCACACGTTCAAATTTGAGTCTACTACAATTTTCATTAAGATTACTCCCGTTAAAAAGTAATATATTTTTACTTACAGTTTTATAAAAGAAACATTCATTCACAAAGAACGCATGCATATAAATGTTTTTTTTATAAAAAAATAATATTTTTACTTACGATATTTATGTCAATGCGTTCTTTATGAATGTATGTATGAACATTTTTTTTTTATAAAATCGTAAATAAAAATATATTACCTTTTAACAGAAGTAATCTTAATGAAAGTTGTAGTAGACTCAAATACAAATGCGTGGATATAATGATCGTTAAAATCCGAGATTGTATGAAGAAATTACGACGTTCAGAATACAAAACCTAAGACAAACCTAAGAAACCAAGCAATAAATATATTAACTTAAGGTATACAACAATAACTTAAATCATAAACAAATTCTAGAATTTTATCCTTCTTTCATCCCATAAAACTTCTCACCGAAACTTTCTGCTAGCAAACAACCAAAATCATCACTTATTTAAAAATTAAAAAACCATTAAAACATAAGAGAATATAAGCAAAGATATAATGTTAGTTACATGGTACCAAGGAAATTCAATCACTCTTTATGTTGAGCTGTCATCATATGATCTTTTACCCTTTGAAGGTATTAACTACATAACAAAAAACATGATAATATTAGTGTTATTCACTCTTTTTGTTGAGCTGCCATCATATGATCTTTTACCCTTTGAAGGTATAACTACATAAAAAAAAGGTGAAAAATTGATCCAAAAATATGAAGAAAGGCTTACAAAGTTTTATATGTCATCTTCTCATTCAATTCATCAATGTCTTTGCCTAAACATAGCTCGGTTTCTTTGCCTAAACATAGTGCAACCGAGCTCAAGATCTATCGATGAAGACCATATCCAATCTTGTACACAACTTCCATGGTTTCAATGTTAAGTGAACTCCTATACTTATTGATAACTCAAATTGCAATTTATTTTAACCTTTTTAGCATATATTATATAATATATTACTAATTAACCTTTTTGCGGTGCGGTTAATACATGCGGTGTGGTTATGGTTTTTTTGTTTTTTGAAAAAACAAAAACCGATAAGTCCTTGTAATTTGTATTTGTTTTTTACATACATAAAGATACATCTCTAATTCCTTGTAATTTGTATTTTTGCAGGATAAATCCATGCTAGTTTTGCTTGATAACAATCTCGTGTTGTTCAAAGGAATACACATAACTTGATTTTGATCATATCGCAACTTTTGGTGAACTAAGTTTTTATATATTAGCAGTCTCATCAACTTTATGCAAAAAAGCAAATTTTGACACAAACTTTATCTGTCAGCATATGTTTCAGAATCAGATGTAAGTAAGCAGCCCAAATTAAGTCAATTGCAACAAGAGCTTGTGCATTGCATAACTTAACAATGAATGTGAATGTGAATGTGGTTAGAAGGATTTCTTTTCGTAAGACACAAGGCCATGAACTCCACCTTCCACCTGTGCTGCTCCTGTTCGTACCTGAACAAAAGTCAAACCATAAACATAAATATTAACATGGAAACTTGTGTCATTTTATCACTAAACTGTTATTTTCTTATGACTGTTGTAATAATAGTTTAATGGGTAAATCGATAACTGGTGAAAGAAAGTACATTGTGTTATTTGTAGTTCGCCAAGATATTAAAAACGGGTAACCAAGAAAAATGATAATTCTAAAAGGTAAAAAGGTAAAACAGTTGAATCAAAATAATAGAGTAACTTATAATTTTGGTCCTTAAGTATAATAGCTGATTTTGGTCCCAAATACATATTATTTTACTTGAATTGAAACAAGGACAAAAAATGTTACAAACACCCACCAAATTTGCAATAAAAAATTTTGGGACCAAAATTCAAAAAATCAGATATACCCACCAAAATTCAAAATATAACTTACTCAAAAACAAATTAACGGCTTAATCTACAAAATGGTGAAAGTATAATTTGCCCTACTTTGATTACTTAGAGTAAAAAAATAGGGATAATGTTCTTTAATGACAATTTTGAGTCCCGATTTATAGCCTAATTTTGCAACTTTGAACCCAAATATATAGTTATTTTACCTAGACCTAAAACATTACAAAAATCTCTCCAACATTACCACATTTGCAAGATAAAAACCTTTTGGGACCAAAATTAAAAAAAAAAATGATATTTGAAAAAAGGTTTTTGATTTTGGTATATACCATACCTCAAGCCTTAAGACCCCACACCTCAACAAATCATGAGCCGAATGTAAGGAAGAAGCACCAAGATCTTGGAAACCCTGTTTCACTGCATGCATAGTATACGGAATAAACTTTAACACCGAACCTTTATCTGCAACTGCTCCAACAACCCCCTGCGCAATCTTCATTTTAGCTGTATCACCCAGGTAACGTGCATCACTCCCTTTTCTCATCGCTTCTAGAGACCCCATTCCTCGATACTTTTTCACCCTTTCACCCCCCTAATAATGTTATACCAAAATAAAAAACTAATTAAATATCATTTATAATAAAATAGAAAATTGCAAGTTACCTTAACCTACCTGATTTGTATAAGCTCCAGGAGCTTCGGTACTTCCTGCTAAAAAGCTCCCCATCATCACAGTTGACGCTCCTAAAGTCAAAGCTTTGACTATATGTCCAGAATTTGAAATCCCACCATCAGCGATCACTGGAATACCACTTTGTGCAGCAACCGATGATACTTTGTACACTGCGGTTGCCTGTCCTCGGCCAACAGCACAAACTTCTTGAGTAGTACAAATGGAACCGGACCCCATTCCAACTCTCAACCCATCAACTCCAGCGTGTATTAAGTTTTGAGCTTGATACATCGTAACCACATTCCCACCAATCACATCCAAATCAGGAAACGTTTTTTTAACATATTTGATCATCTCTATCTGATAAATCGAGTTTCCTTGTGAACTATCGATCACAATCACATTAGCACCAGCTTTAACAATATGTTCTAACCTTTCCTTATCATTCTCCCTAGTCCCAATGGAAGCTCCCACCAAAAACTCCCCGTTTTCTCCAACAGAAGGCAAACCGGAGGTCTTCGGGAACCCATTAATCCTCTCTACATCCCATTTACTCACCACATTTATCACCTCCCCTTCTCCACTCACCAAAGGCACAAAATCCATCTCCTTTTTTGTTAAATACCCAGCAACATCTTTAAGGTTACACGTATTTGGCAATGTTACCACGTTCTTCTGCATATAGCTTGAAATCCTAGCCTCCTTATCGGGTAAACCTTCCCAGGTTAACTTATCGACAACGCCTAACAGATTCTTGTTATTCTTATCATTGGTTATGAAAACGCATGGGGAGTTATTGAAAACAGAGGCGGATGAAATGGAATCATCCGGTGACAAAAACGGGATATCGGTTGATGCGAAAGGGATACGGTGGGATTTGGTTGACCGGATTAAGGATGACTGTTCAGATGCGGTGTTGTTGGAGTGGATGATTCCGATACCACCTACAGCGGCCATTGAAACAGCCATGGATGCTTCGGTGACTGTGTCCATTGGAGAGGCGACGCATGGGATAGAGAGGTTTATGTTACGAGAGAGTTTTGTGTTTAGTTGAACGGAGTCGGTTGAGAAGTCGATATAATGAGGGAGGAAGATAACGTCGTCGTAGGTGTAAGAGTATCCTTGGTTGAAGAGTCTGGTTGCCGGAAACCCATCCTCCATCTTCATATATCCGTTCATATATCCGTTGCTTGCGGTGGTCATGGTTGCTTGAGGTGGCGTTATTAGGAATAGACGAAAACTGAATTTGAAGTTACCTGGTGCTAAAGTAGAAAAAAACACCTGGCCTGGCCCCGAAGTCAGTCACAGCCGGAGATGTGAGCGCCGAAGCCGGAGATGGTGTCGGAGTTGTAGCTTGAGAAGATGGGGCCGCGCAGCCTTAGAAAGTGAAGTCGCAGCCTGTAACAGCCGACGAAGGTGTAGTGGACCGGTGGCCGGTGGCCGGTGACCGGAGTTCGATTCTTCAAGTAGGAGCGTGAGGGGGCTGATCGCTTAGATTGAGCGGGTGAGGGGCAAGTTAGGGCAAATCTGTAAAGCCCAACTAGAGAATGTAGTGTATCGTGACTATGGTATTAGAGGGTGTTTGGCTAAGCTTGGTTAAGCTAATAGGTTATAAGCTAAAAATAGTGTTTGGATACAAATAATTTACAGATTAATAATTTAAAATAGTTATAAGCTAAAAATAGTATTTGGATAGAAATAATTTATCAAGGTATCATACCGGAAATAAGTCAAAATCTATAAGTAATTCTCCTCTAATTTATTAGCTTATAAGTTATAAGCTATAAGTTGAAAAGTGATTATGAAAAGTAATAAGCTTAGTCAAACACCCTCTTAACCTTTTTAACATATACTATTATATAACTAGTTTTTATAGTTGGTTTTTATGTGTTTTTTTGTCGTGTATCGGAAAAAGAGATAAGATATCATATGATATATATTAACGGTGGGATAAACATAAAAAGTTTAGAAATAAAATGGTGGTAATATTTTACAATGCTGAAGGTTGAGGGGTAAATATAATATTTTAAAAAGTAAAGAAATAAAAGATATCATTTTACAAAATAAAAGGGTTACGGATTATATAAAGTTGAGCGATGAAATATAAAATAGTGAAAGTGACATTTTATAAAGTTGAAAGTTGAGTGGTGATGTGATATTTTAAAAAGTATAAAGATGAAAAATATTATTTTACAAAATAAAAAAGTTACAAATGATGAATTATATCAAGTTGAATAATTAAAGTTATATTTTACACATTAACATAGTTATACAAATAGCTAAAGTACTTTACTCACAGACCAAAACTTACAGATTGTATATATTTATAATATATTTGTAATTAATAAAATATAAAATTAAATATTATATACATATTAATATGATTCTACTCAGGGACAAGCACCAGTGCTTCATCCTAACGGTTCAAACATGATCAAGTGTGATCCTCTGAGTGGTATGGACCGCAGGGCTAAGAACATCCATTTCTATAGTATATCTTACAATTGTTAGTATTTCATGCATAATTCTTCATGAAACTACCCGGCCATTATCACTTACCCCTTTAAGCTCCAGCAGTTGATCCCAAGTATGAAGTCCCAAACTACAGCTAATGGTCCCGGTTCGATGTGTGAGATGACAACAAGATTTTGGACCAATAATGATACAATAACTATGAACCTGTTCCATGGCATCCAAGGGAGTGAGAATAAACAGATAACAAAAATGCATGAATGCTAATGCCCTAAGCTAAATTTTATGCAAAAATAAAAAGTAGAAAAGAAGAAAATAAAATCTTTTTGGAATTTTATAAAAAAAAATGAATGCAAATTAGCCTAAAACTAAAATGATATGCAACCTAACTAAAAACGCATGAAAAGAATAAAAGGAAAAGGGAAATGTCCCACTCCAAGCTTAAGAACAAGAATTGCCCTCAATGCTTAAGGAAAGAGCGGAAATGACCTAAATCGGAGGGTCGGGCGGCAGAAAGTGTCTGTGGCGGTAGTGGTAGTCCCACATATCCTGGACCTGGCGGGAAGTGGGTGGGAAGGACTGCTCTAGCCGATCAACACGGGTCACCACATCCTGGATGGCTCAGGTGTTCTCCCACCGGAACCTGTTCTAAAATATTAAAATTTAAAAATACTTACTTAAACGAATTTACCATAACAACGTTGATGACTAAAACATTTTTTGAGACTATCTAATTGTATCTTGGAGGTAACATGCTAATAAGTCATATTTGCAACTTTTTTTTCAAAACAAATGGTGTAATGTGAATGTGAATGCATGACAGTAAAACAATTTGAACATACGTGATGGTAATATCTTTTGATAATAGATATGATGTTAAATAACATTAACAGGTTGATGGTAAGAACATGAACTTTGGTTTATGATTTATATTTAACAACTTGGATTATCTTTTAAAACGATTATTTTGTTGTTGTTTGTAACTTGTATCGTAATGAACTAGTTATAGAGTTTACTTTTTGTTTCAATGGATAAGAATTATTTTGTATTAACGAAACTAAAAAATAACGTAACCGAGTTATCTGACCCGGGAACTGAAACTGCCAGTTCCGGGACTGGTTCCAAAATTTTAAAAACCGCCTAGACCAGTTCCGGTTCTAACTTCATAGGAACCGTTGGTTCTTGTTCCATTTTCGGTTCCAGCGAAATGAGGCGGGTACACGTCTATGCTTAACCCTAATCTCTCCCACTGCAACGCCAATGGAGGACTATCGAGAAGTAGAGGTTGGAGTATTTGGTCCTCCAACACAACCCTAACTCTATTTGTCTTGAATGCTAGTATAAATATGGGTATAAATGATCTTGATCGTTCCACTTCCGAGCATACAAAGTATTGAAAATCCAAAAACTGGAAAGAAACAAGCATAGTTGATGTGTTCATTTATGGGAGAAGACAAGAACAATTTCTGATTTTTTACAGCTTAGGTCTTTAAAGTTCGGTTTAATGATGCTTTCTACCCTAATCCAAGAATCCTATAACATAACAAGTTCTGGAAAATACATCTAACCCCTGGCCAGAATTCTCTTAACATATATAGTTTGTGAAAATAACGAAATCGACATCGAGGTTATTGACCTCCTTGCTACGCATACGGGTCATGTGCATTCAGTAGTACGGGCTCATACTACTTTCCACACCTACCCGTATTCGTATCAAGGGGTCGTCACAGACCACCTGATCGCAAGTCCCAAAATCTAGGATATGCATACATCGTATACATACTCTCAAGAGTAGCTAAGCCTTCCTCACGTTGTCCTTCTATAACCACATTCACTTATGGAACTTCCACCAACCCTGCAGTCACTCGTGCATGCTAATCATACATAACGTTGAATTCCATAGACATTCGAAAACTTGATTCTACCCTAAGCTCACAAACAAACAAGGAATAAGAAATAAGGCTAAATCAAATATTTTCCGACTATAAAATCTTAGTTATGTAACATCATGGTGTATATACTAGGCAACTACAGTAATGACGTCAATTCCATCTAGCATACAAGAAAATCTCCTAGTCTATCATGCATCATAATTCAGGCAATTCTATCATGCAATTCCTAAAGATCCTTAACCTACAACTAGCATACAGCTCTATCATAATCATCATAAGCAAATAACAGTGTGAGTATCTTAGGAAATACTTTCTTGCTCCGGTTGATCATACACATCTCATCCCTCCTTTGTTACTTTTGAAAACAATTTTGAAATAGTTTGAAAACCCTTGCAGATCCTTAGTTTTAGCCAGGATTCACACAATTGTTCATCCAAATTTCTCAAACCAGGGCTCTGATACCAACTTGTAACATCTCAAAATCAAGACAAACAAATTTCATTTTTAAACCAATTTAAAAACCACAAATAACACAAAATCATAGTTTCCAAAAGTCATAAAACAAGAATCAGAGTATTCCTAAAATAATAATCTCATAAAATCCAAAATAATGTGCATGATCAAGCCTTCGCCTTGCCCCGTCCTCTGAAGTACCTAAAACTATAGCAATCAAAATGTAAGCCAAAGCTTAGTGAGTTCCCCCAAAATACCCCACACAACAGAGCATATACAATCATGCATTCTAGGTCCATAATCATAAGACTGGATTACGTTCGGGTCCACAGTCATATGACTGGATTACCCCTAGCCCACAAGCCACAATCATCGGATTGGATTGCCTCAGCCCAATCAGCCATCGGATTGGAATGCCTCGGTCTATTGGCTTACGCACATAGCAGTAAATGTTGGATTAGATGTCTAAGCCCATAACTATTATTGGTATGTACTTGACCCGAGAGTAGCATGGTCCATTTGGGTTGTATAACACCATGACAATTTGTTAGGATTGACTCTTGAGAGAAGGTTATATATGATTTATTAATATATTATAAGTTGTAATATATTAATATGAAATCATATGTTTTATTTAGTATTGATCAAGAATTAATTTGGAATTAATTTAGTGATCAAAAGAGACTAATTAAATCTATGGAGACTAATTATGATAATTAGTTATATTTATATGTGTTGGGCTTATGATCCATGTTGGACCAAGTTTATGTATGGATACATAAAGAGTTGGGTCACATGAACCATGGATCATAAAACCCATGGGTATGGATTTGGGTTAAACCCACGACCCTTGGAATCCACCATATAAATATGTTGTTTCATGACCAAAAACGTGTGCATCTTTTCTTAGAGAAATATGGACGATTTTGGGTGCATGGAATTCTCTCTCAAGAGCCACCTTTGTCCTAGGTGAGTTGTGAGCCATTTGAGGCATTCATACTTTTGGTGCTATGCTCTTAAGGCCAAATACAACAAGGTTTCAAGCTACATAAAAGGTATGTCATCCTAACTAGTATTTCATATTGTTTATGTCAATTGCATGCTAGTTATAGGCTTAATGTTTTGGAAATACCATTACATGTATAATTAGAGAAAACATAGATCCAAGGCATTTAGGTTTGTATGTGCACCATAGGATGTTGTAGTATACAAAAAAAAACCCAACAGTAGTATCAGAGCCATGGGTTGGTATCTATTATATTTGATGTTATTATCGGTTTTCGGAGCAAAAAAATCGATTTTCCGCTGTTCTGGACAGTGGACTCACTGAGTCCACTGGGGGACTCGCCGAGTCCAAAAACAAATTCATCCAACTCGCCGAGTTTGTTCTTACACTCGACGAGTTGGAGCCCCTGACAGCAGATTTTCGAGTTTTTTTGGCCTGTTTTGGATTTGGATCATTACCACAAAATGTTTTTGTTCATAAAATTTGATTTTGATGTCATGGTAATTAATATCCTCATCCAAACAAAAGATAATTGTCAAAGCTTCAAGATTTGTGTTAGTTTATGTGATTAGCTAAGTTCTTGAAAATTGTTGATATGAATTATCTTTGCTTATGAGTTTGATCTTTTTCATAGAAAAATTATTTGATTATTGTGTTAATTGAAATAATTGATCTTAATGTTTTTATAAACTCCATAACTTGTCCTCACGTTATGGAATGATAACGTCTATTTTATGCATATAT